GTGGCAACACCATAGTGCCCAGACTCAATTAAGGATAGTTCTAGAGCCTAAGTTGTATAAGAAGACCCCGACACACCATACCCTATTGAATAAATACTCCCCCTCCCCTTCCCCCCCCTCCCCCTCGCCCTGCCAGAAGCAGCAGTGTCCGCACAACAGCCCATGTACTGAACACCCAGGTATCCCTCCCGCCACTCCACCCCCCGCATACAACCACCATGGGCACAACCTTTGGACTGAAGCAGGCAGGGTCTCCAATTTCAGGGTTGCCATGGACGCAACCCTTGGAATGAAACAGGCAGTGTCTCCAATTTCAGGAGAGGTAAGCGTCTGTAGTCCCTACCATGTTTCGGTCCAAAGGGGTGTGTGAATGGTCCTAAGTCGCGCCAGCCTAGCATGTGCCCATGCAAATGCCGCGAGTCGCATCCCGCAACCTGAATCACAAGGGTGCATATGCCACACATTCATCCGTCCTCATATCCAAAGTAAGCAAGGAAATTTCAAGCAATCAGCCAATAAAGAAACAGATTATTCTAACTCATCCTTCGAAGCACTCACAAGAACCATGCAGGCATTCCAGCTAGCATCTGAAATGAAAGTCAACTGGCAAAAGACGATAGGTTGGTGGCTAGCAGAAGAAACAATAGACAAACCACACTCCACACCGGAGGGCTTACTGTGGGCTGAACTAAGTGACCCATTGCGTTTCCTAGGCTTACAAGTCTCAGACCAGGGCACAATGAACAACATGGCAGCCAGCCTCCTAGCTAAAATGACAGACAGACTAGACGACTGGACGAAGGTCCACACCTCCTTATTCGGAAGAGCGCTAGTACTCAACACTTCAGTTTTCTCAATGATGTGGTACGTAGCATCCTTCTGGACCCCAGAGGAAGAAGCTTTTAAACTACTGAAGAGGAAGGCATCGGCCTACCTGTGGACCGGAAACCCGACCAGAACCAACTTCATCTGCAAAGTAGCCTGGCAGCACGTCACAGCCAAAAAGCAAGAAGGAGGTCTAGGAATCATTGATCCTCCACTACAAATTAAGGCCTTACAAGCGAAATGGATCCTTAAGCTGATCTCTCCCCCGAGCCTCCCATGGAGACCGCTAGCCCTAGAAAGATTTAAGCAACTGCCAGCCTTCACTTCTCCAGACAATATGTCAGGTTCCTTCTGGCTAGCGAGTAAATCCTGGGCCATGAAAACAACAAGAACAGAGAGGTCTACCTCAAGATTGAACTCACGCCTAATTTTCTGGCAGGAACAATACAACGCATGGAAGGAAATCTTCCCTGCAAAGGTCAGAAGACCAACCAACAAAGAAGAAGTACTAAGGCAACCCCTCTTCTGCAATCCAGACATAGTCAATTCAGAAGGGATACCCTTCACCCCAACCTCTAAAGACACCAAATGGGGCAACTGGCTCGAAAAAGGAGTATGGCAAATCAAACACATCTGGAATGACACATCAAGAGAGTGGATGACAGAAGCACAACTAAGACGGAAACTAAAGGGTTGCCATAACCTGGCAAGGAACCTACAAGCAGTACATGACTCAATACCGCACGAATGGTCCGAGTTACTACGGAAAGACTTCCTATGGAAACCCGGTGAATGGGCGGTTCTCAAAGACTCTGAAATACCACTCCAAGCCTTTCACTATGAGGACATAGAGGACGGCAGATCCAATTGGCTTCGCTTCTCGTCCCATGAAATAAAAGATCCAGGAACAGACTTTTGTAACCTGTCAAACAAGCCAGAATCCCAAGTAGTAATAAAAAGAGATTTACTAAGAAAAATAAGAGTAGTGGAGCAAGAATCCTTAATCATTTATCACCCTCTGACCCCATTACAGGACCTAGAAATGACCCCAATAAAAAGAGATTTACTAAGAAAAATAAGAAGTAGACCCAGCAGAATGGGCCTGGAATCTCAGACAAGGAAGGCTACGACTGAGTCGGAGAACCAACCTACTGGACTATACTACGAGACTAGGGTACAGACTGAGGAAAAGGTTGGAACCAGCTGACACAGTAATAGCCGGACGATGGTGGAAACACGTAGAAGTGGATCACAAACACTTCACGGACATTCCATGGGGAAAGCTGACAGCACTCAGACCACCAGGCTTCAGGAGCCTCCAGTGGCTAATCTGGTATCTCGCGGTCCCAACAAACGTATGGCTCAACCCCAGACGAAGAATGCAGGATAGAAACACCCTGAATGAACTATGTGCCAACTGTAGGGAAGAAAAGAAAGRGGACATTCTCCATKGCTTCCTGCTCTGCCAAAGAGTTAAACAACTATGGCAGCTGGCCGAAGATACTTGGCGGAGAGTCASAAACAAACCATTCCCAGATGACCCTCTGTTTTGGCTGACGGGACAGGACRAGCCTGACTCATGGTCCCRCACCGAATCCATTCTTGGTGGGAGCCTACGTAAGGCCCTTTTATGGAACATATGGAAAAAACGGTGCCAAGAAACCCTGGGCAAGACACCAATGCACACAAGAGAAGCTTGGCCCCTCATCCAAATACAGATAGAAACCGACTACCGCATACAATGGAAAAGAACTAAACTAAAAATGGAAAAAGAAGAAGATAAAGCAATAGAGCATAGACTAAGATTTGAAGACCTGGTACTGGCCAACGGAAAGATTGGAAAACTAAAAGGGGAAGGAAATAGTATTCACATTATGGGAGGACTCCCAGATCGCTCAAGAACACACATGTAATACCTTAGACAGTAGAGAGGAAGAAGAGATTACCCTTTCCGAAYTCTAATTAACCAAGCACAGGATACGGAAGACAGAAAAASAGCAAACAGAGCAAAAACCAAAAAACAGTAGAACACACCGCCACTGCCCTAGCTAGCCAGATAAACMAGACAAACCCATAGCAGATAAAAGTGAAGGAGGAGCCTAACTTCAATCAAACCCGAAAAATAAAAGCTAGAAGACTASAAAACCCCAGAGAAAGAYACCGTAGAGGGTTTAAGGCTTTAGACCGGAGAAACACAGAAACATACGTAAAAAGACGGAAAMAGGCAGAACTAGGATAGAAGACAGGTATGARCACACACAAGCCCAGACAGCAGACAACCCTGGAGAAAAGAAACCCCRAAGTTCTGGGGGAGGTAGTGAAACCAACAGKGATCAACAGCCGCAGTATGCTCTAGACACGCACGCAAAATCGACAGCTATACACCSGAGAGGAGCGATTAGTGACGAAATAGGTATCCAAGCTCTACTAAATACTGCAAACACACACCAATGACTAACTACAATAAGCTACATCCAGAGAGGAGAGATGATTAGACTACACAGTGCCAGAATCAGAACAGGACAAGATCTGCAATTCCATATTCGTACCTACTAGGGCGTGGAGATCACATCAGACAAATCACAGAGCGATCAGAGCTCAACATACGCTTCCACCAAAGGGTCTTATCAACAGTTCTGACGTCTAGAGATATTGGGACAGCTAAGGTACTGGCATGAATAGGCTGAACGGGGCCAAGACAAATAAGCCACCTATTTCAAAGACAGCGAGACAGTCGGACTAGTAAGCTAGGATAACAGAGTAGTAGAACAGGCTAACTTAGGCAGAGGTGAAAGATGGTACATCCTTCCCTCCAGAAGCACTCAATGCCGTCTTTCGGGCCTTCCAGCCACAAGGGGGAGGAGCGTGAGTGGGTACATTTTGTAAGCTTTTCTGAATTGCCGGGGGAATAGGAACCGGACTGATGCTCCCCAGGATGGAAAAGGAGCCAGAACCGTAAGGTTCTGTTTCGGGGGAAAAAACAAACAAACAAACAAACAAACAAACAAACAGATTATTATAAAAAAAATGTAAGAGAAACACATATGCGGGCATGGCAGAAACTCGCTGAAATTTTCACTCTGGATCGACTCCCAAAAGGGGGAAAAAAGGCACCGTGCGGCACTCTTCCTGGAAAGGGTATCAGATTCATCAGAAGCTTCAGAACCAAATCGGCGCCCCGGATTTTTTTAAAAATTTTCAAACGTATGAACCTAAGCGCGGAAAGAACCAAAATTGGCGCACGCAAAACTTTCTGAAGCCCCACTGACCACCAGCCGACCCTCCCCCTCGGAGGCGACGGGCGGGCGGGGGGGAGGACTGGTGGTTTAAACTTTAAACCACCTGCACCTTCCTTTGCCTATTTTTCCCGTTGATCACTTTTGCCCAACCCTAGAATACTGCCAGAAAAAAAATTGAATGTTAGATCTGATGCTGTTGCAGAGTCGCTGCCGCAGATCTGCAGCAGCGTCAGTCATGAGAACTAACATTGCAAAATAAAGAAGAAGAAAAGTGACAAAAAAAAACAAAACAAGGAAATTGAAGTGTCCGCGCGTAGAAAACTTTGCTCTACTTGGAAACTACTGTACATAAGAGTCACTACCACCTTGATTTTGATGACCAAAAGAAAAGAAAACCATCATGACTGATGCAAAAGCTGCCATTTTTATTTTGCACTCCCACTCTTGACTTGTCCATTAACATGCAGCTGCTGCAAAGCATTCAGCTATAACACTGCTAACCTGCACAGTGCCTCTCTCTCTCTCTCTCTCTCTCTCTCTCTCTCTCTCTCTCTCTCTCWCACACACACACACACACACACACACACACACACACACACACACACACATGCACACACATGCACACACACACACACACAGACTCTACGTCAAAATAACCTGCAGCCAAATGATCTGGCCTCATTAATATCTTGTCCTATTTGTGATTAAGCTCTTCTTTCCAACGTATGGCTGCTGCACAATATACAAATCTCACCAATTGGTTTTAATCCCAAACTAGCAACCGTAGGTAATATACGGGTATATATACTATACACACAGATAAGTAAGGAGAAACTTCGAGAAAGTAGCAAAGAAACAGGCTAGAGAAGCCACCAGCCTAATGACTCAACTCCCATGTAGCTCTATCTATCAATTTCCAAAATAAATATTTGAAAATACAAAAGAGATCTTTCATTCATGTCTTGGAGAAGGATGAGAACCAGCCTCAAGCTCCTGTCATCCGTTCACACACGCGAGGCCCTACCTCTAGCACTCCTCGAGCAGCAACTGTCGGCCATGGCAGAAGGTAAACACACAACGCAAGATCTTCTACGTTTGGTGGTGTACCCACACTCGGACTTTGTCAACCGCCTCTGTGTCCGAGACTGTCCTTTTTTTTGTGTGTGTGTCCCGAGTGCTGCGCGTCACAAAAGAACGAACCGGAGTGGACGCGATCTTTCGTTCTTTCGGGTGACAGTGCCAGCTATTTTGGTCCGGTGGCACTGTGCATCTGAGTTGGCATCGACTTTGAATCTCTGACAGACTACACCCACCTTTTGCAGGTTCTGCGTTGAATTCCAGCGCCTTGAAGAACCCTGGTTTCTAGTACTTTCTATGGCATTCACAGCCATTAGCGCCGACTCCTGTCGCAGCTAGCCACGTCATTTTCTCCGCTCCGCACAAAAATGCCAAAGGTGAACTTTCTCCAACTCCCTTGGCAGCATTACCACCAGATAGTAGTGCAACAAAGTCCTCCTCTTCTTAGACTACAAAAGTTTCTTGCGATACTGCGCACAAGCGCCAAACACAGGGATGTTACGACAAGCGATCGCTGTCAACGACTCGAATGGGAAGGCTTAACCAGGGTTAGGGTTACGGGGACATAGCGATGGAACCATGCGGATAGCAGTCCAATAGGCGGGCTTGGCGGAAACATAGCAATAGCTGTGGAGGAGAAGTTGGGGCATAAAGAGGAGATGGAGATGGATAACGCTCCACAGGGCGGGCGGAGCTTCCATCACAAGCCTTGGAAAGAATTGGCCAAGCTTAATTATTCCCAAAGCTAATTCTTCCCAAGGTAAAGGACGCAGAACCAGGCTTCAGGAGAGAGAGTGGTGGCAAAGAGAAAGGGTATGCAGAGACATCAGATGTGTCAAAGAGAAAGGGTATGTAGAGACATCGGATGAGCAAAGAGAAAGGGCATGCAGGGACATCTGATGGTTTCTCGTCTAGAAAGGCTTAACCGGGGTAAACGCTTGGGAATGCTTGACCAGAGGATTGAACCTCGGCTGGGAAGTTTCACAAGTGATGAGAAGAGATAGCAAGGCTTCAGGAGGCATAGCCGAGGCAGAGAGAACACTTGTGGGAGGGACCTTTGATATCACCTCAACGGGGAATGCTTAACCGGGGTCAAGGAGACATAGCCACGCTTTAGCTGGAATAGCAGAGGTACCAAGAACACTCGGGAGCGAGTCCGAAAGACGTTGGATCACACCTCAGCTGGGAAGACTTAACCATGATTAAGGAGACATAGCCGGGCTTTAGAGGAGGGATAGCGAAATTGGATTGCACCTCAGCAACAAACACAACGATCGCATATGCCTTAACCAAGGTCATCCCTCCGATAAAGCCCGCCTGTACATCGGACATTTATGTATAGAGGACAAATGTTTCTCTCTCTCAGCTCAGGTACCATTCTTGAGGATGCACAGTGCTCTTTGCAGTTTTGTTTTCAAATCCTTAGAAGCAGGAGAAAATAATATACCACATGGGCATTCAGGCGGTTGCGCATGAGTTACCTGATTAATCTTTGAAGTCACATTCCCACCCATCCATCCATCCATCCATCCATCCATCCATCTATATATGTGACGAGAAATGGATCAAGCGATACATAACTCTCCAACTCATGCAAGATCTGATAGCCCATGGTGTCGATCAACAGTCGACATTTTTTTTTGGCACCACAAGATGGGCGATATAATGCCCACGCAAAGTGGGTAGGGGAGTTTGTAGAGAATCTCACTGATATTCGCAAATGTCACATCCCACATCTTGTAAGCAGCTTGGTCCCGCAAAGGACCTTGGACGCTGCAAGACCAAGGTCGTTATTGCACTCCACCGCCCACTGACCCAAAGTCCAGGTCCTCCAAGATATTAAGCGCCCAAGCTGATGACCAGATGTCGTATCCAGTTTGGTTATTTGGTTAACCCTCCTCCTAAAGCCTGGCTATGTCACCTTAACCCTAGTTAAGCCTTCCAAGCGCACCTTTAGGGGAGAGGCAAACATATAGAGTTCCCTTTCATAATGACAAACTGAGAATACAGAAAATGATGTCATTCAGTCCTGAGGCGAAGGAAAGAGGGGAGGGAAGGGAGAGGGGATGTTCTTCCCGCCACTGCCTCATGTACAGTAGGGGATGAAGGCCATGGTGGGAAAGTGGGGGGGGCGGCGAAGGAGTCGGGGCAGCAAGAAAAGGGAGACGGTGTAGTTGAATCGAGATTCGGAAAATAATCGTCCAATTTGTTCCACACTCCTGGTCAACTGCCGTGGGTATCACGGTTTATCCCCTGCCCCCCTGTTTCAGAGACAACAGACGAAAATCACAAAGCCCAATTTCGATTGATCTCACGATTCTACCCCTCCAATCCTATACCCCATTCACAAACTGCAGAGGAAGGGCCCATATATGGAGAGAGAGAGTTCAGAAAACCAATCAAGGTTAAGAGAACTTAAGACGCTGACCACAGTGATAGGCGATAGGTGAAGGTGAGTTAAGACCGCATCAACTCCCTCAGTCCGCACAGCATGGCTCGAGGCTCGTTGACCCCTTCCAGACCATTGACAACCAGTTGTAAACCACTTCCTGGTGCATTCACCACTTCTTGACCGTGAACCCAGAACCCTGAACCCTCCCTAAATCCTCCTCAAGCCCTCCCTAACCCCTCCTTAAGCCCTCCCTAACCCCTCCTTAAGCCCTCCTTGATCCCTTCATAGACACCGAATCCTCCCTAAACCTCCCTAAATCCTCCCTAAATCCTTCCTAAGCCCTCAACCCTAAACAAAGGACATCCTCCTGACAGCACCTGCACAAATAACCCTCGCTGATAACCCKCCYTAGACCCTCCTTGAWYMCTTCGTAAACACCGAATCCTCCCTAGACCTCCCTAAATCCTCCCTAAAACCTTCCCAAGCCCTCAACCCTAAACAAAGGACATCCTCCTGACAGCACCTSCACAAATAACCCTCGCTGATAACCCTCCTTAGACCCTCCTTGAAYMCTTNGTAAACACCGAATCCTCCCTAGACCTCCCTAAATCCTCCCTAAAACCTTCCCAAGCCCTCAACCCTAAACAAAGGACATCCTCCTGACAGCACCTCCACAAATAACCCTCGCTAATAACCCTCCTTAGACCCTCCTTGAACCCTTCGTAAACAACGAATCCTCCCCAGACATTCCCAAACCCTCCATAAGCCCTTCCTCAAAACTTTCCTAAGCCCTCAACCCTAAACAAAGGACATCCTCCTCACAGCACCTCCACTGATATCCGCTTAGGATACCCCAAAGCCCAACGACTGCTTCTAGAGCATTGATCAGGTTTGGCCTATTCCCTGTTCAGTAACCATTTTTTAACCGTTCACCATGGGCTGCTATTTGGCCATTTTACCATTGGCTGGTCAAGGTAAGGTCTTAATTTGACCACAGACCCTTAAGAACATTTGACAAGGAGCTCTGGACCTTTGACCACCTTCTGTTGACTGTAGACCGTTGACCATCGCCAGTTGACCATTTGACCATGTATCGTTGACCACTTTTTGACCATGGACCATTGGACTGCAATGACTTGCTGATTTTGACTGCCGCGATCTAACTGCGAGGCTGTACAGTAACAGCGGTAGGGTTAGATTTGTAATTTTGTTTGTGCTAGGGAATAACCGAGAGTTCAGTGCTGAGGGAAATTCGTGAGGGACATATCTGCAATTTCGGGACAATTACAGGCCCGCAGTTCCCTTAGACCGCACTGCGAATAGCAGGCCCGGGCTATCAATAGGACGGGAGGCCCTAGGGCCTAGGCCCGTGGCATGAGAACCTATAGCCAGGTAGGTAGAGGCCCTAGAGGCCCAAACTGAAACGGTACCGGCCGGTCCAGTCCGTGTCTAGGTCTAGGCTAGTCTATTAATAGATCTAGGTCGCTAAGGTTAGGACTTTTGGCTGTTTTCATTTTTCGCGTGACAGCGTTCTGAGCCAAGCAAGTACAGTGGAGACGATTGCCTACAGGCGGCATCCTGAGACCATCGTCATGGACGGCAGTCATAGCCAGCCTTCTGGAGCTCGCCATAGCTGGGGCGTCCTCTGAGCATCCACCCCTAGGGGTGCTTGCGATCGGCTGGGCTTCTAAAGCTCTACATGGTATTCCTGGGTGGACCACTGTTGCTGCATCTTCCTCTGGGATCGTGCATGGCATCTGCCGTGGCGCTGCAGCCATAGCTGCAGCTTTCTTCGTCAGAGTTGCTCATCGGCACTGAGGGTTACATTGCAGTTCCTGTTCTTCATCTGGGTGGCTAGTGCAGGCCTTTGGGAGGCTGTTGTTGTGGGGCGCTACTAACTGGGTGTAGTCTAGGGAGTGGAGTGTGTGATTATGTGAGTGGCGAGACACTGAGACAAACTCTGTAACGATATTGGTTCAGATCGGCTCAATCTCAGATTGTTCCTTTGTTATCCTCGCAGGTGTCTACTTGTGATTGGTTGTTGGGAGTATTGTCAGAGAGTGAGAAACCCTTCGTGTTATCTCCACACCTGTGCATAATGTTTTTCCCGCTGCTGACTCTGTCTGTGTGCAGTGTGTAGTATGTCTCCTCTCCCCTTCTTCTTATGCATGTATGGGCGTGCGTGAGATTGTCTGTGTGATTTGAAAATCGACAGACAACCAAGTTCATAACAGTTGGTATCGGAGCGAGATAGGATCTGACGTTCTAAGGGTTGAGTACGATTGGGGCATCTTCTTCTTCTGATGATCTTCTGGAGAGAGATCCATGGCGGTTCTTCTTCTTCAGTACTGAAGCAGGCGAGGAGAAGAGATACAGGCGGTGAATTCAAGAGATCAGTGATTGGATTGATCAGGCACAGTATCCTGCCAGAGCGCCTGACTTGGTGTGGCGAGTACAGGGCTATCTCGCCAGTATTGGTACTAGAGCCAAAATCGTGATTTGGCTCTGAGTGGCGAAATACCCCTGAGGACCCTGAGGAACTGAGTGGTGACTTCATCACAGAGTAGCGCTGACTAGGATTGACTGCTAGAGTCAACCCTACATTGTGTTGACCCCATTTGGGGCCATTTCCAGTGTCAGTGGATCAGGGAGAAAGTGGCGAAGTATCTTCTCCTGACTGTCAGAGTGCCACCGGACTAGATTCAGTGAATCTAGTACAAATGATTGAAGCGCCTTAGTGTCTTCTGCAAGTTCAACAAGTTTGGTGACTTTCTGTGCATGGAGATTGGAGAAGCAGTCTCTGGAAGAAAGTGGCGAGAAGGGCATATACTGTCTGCCATAGCCAGAGCATTCTGAGCCAAGCAAGTACAGTGGAGACGATTGCCTACAGGCGGCATCCTGAGACCATCGTCGTGGACGGCAGCCATCGCCAGCCTTCTGGAGCTCGCCATAGCTGGGGCGTCCTCTGAGCATTCACCCCTGGGGGTGCTTGCGATCAGCTGGGCTATTCTGAGGCTCTACATGATATTCGTGGATGGACCACTGTTGCTGCAGCTTTCTTCGTCCGAGTTGCTCATC